CAGGAGACAATGCCATCTCCAATACTTTGTTAATTTTCACACTATTGTACCATAGTAATGGCTGGTACCATTAGCTTTTATGCAAAAAAGAGGAATAAAGGCTCATAATGTGTAAAGGCTAAAAATTCTTCCTGGGCCAAGATGAGAAGATCAAGTTAAAAATGAAAAGCAGCATAAAGCAGTTTATTGCCTGGATGACTTACTAAAGCTTTATACTAGTGAAATCTTGCCTTTCTTATTGCTTTTCTTTGTGTGTGGTCAGGACAAAAAGTAGTAATATCTAACTACCGCAGCAAGGAGTGCCAGAAAGAAATTTAACATTCAGAAAATATGAATATTTTGCAAGTTTTGTAAAAAGAGATATTTTATAGCTTTAAAATTTATTTTCTTGATTGTTACAGGCCATATTTTTTCTGATATGAAAGATCTAATCTACACTTCAGTTAATGAAACAAAGCCAGCAGTTAATGAATCTAGACCAGTTTATCCCAGCGTAAAATCTCATCTCAGTTTTACAGCCATAACAGCAAAATTCGGTGAAATGCAATAGACTGTACGTAATATGTACAAGACATTCTTAGCCATTCAGATGGCTCAATATTTAGCCCATGAGCCACTTTGTTCAGCTTACTAAACATTTATTCTTCTAACATCTGATTTCTTGCAGGATGTTCTCCCCCAGATCCTCCTCTTGCAATTTAAAGATCTGACTTTACACATTACAGGTTTGAAGCAGTGTCTTTTGAGGGTTTGGGGAGAGTAGGGGGAATTGGATAACTGCCCAATTTCATATGATAAAAGTGAAATTCTCTCCTGTCTGCAGGAAAATCCCCAGGGAACAAAGTATGAAACCCAAACTTAAATAAAATCATATCCTGTTTGCAAACATCATATTCCCTTTGCTTCTCAGTAATCTGGACCCATAAACCCCAGCACAGCTTGAGAGCCCATTCCTCATCTAAACAAATGCCATAAGCTCCTTTATACTTTTACAACCATGTCAGAAAATAATATTGACTGCCAATAGTGATGTGATTGGAGTTGCCTCCTCTAAGTCATAAAAGAAGCAGTCTGTTATCAATTTCTCTAAATGCATCAAGGGAATTATGGGTTGGTTCAGTTCCAAGTTATAAATGACAATTCAAAAGCCACAGAAGTGTTTGAAGCTGGGAGCCGATGATGACATTATCATAAAAGCCCGCTCTTCTTTTGCTTTTGTGGGTTTTTTTGTCTATCAAGTAGAGAAAAAAATAAGGCTGAGAAATGGCTTCAAGATTTCTTCACACAGCAGCAGGTCAAACAGGCAGGAAAACAATCACTATTTTTAGTGACAGACTGAGGCAAGGAGATGAAACTTACTCCCATTAAAAATAGATTTATGTTTCTCGTATTGTCATTTTCACAGCACAACAGAAAGGGGGTAATTGCAATAGATGGATGCATTGATCAACAGTTATACCTCTAGTGGCTGTTTACAAAAGAAAAATTGTGGAATACTCTGATAATCCACAGAACCAAAAAGTAATTTGTGATTATTCGCCCCATTTGGCCACTTCATCTGTAATCTACCCACCACTCTTGGAAAATTTTTCACATTCCAAACCTCTGACCAGCTGCAAGAAACCATCTCTTCTTATTAAAACTGCTGGCCAAAGACCTGATAGTCTCTCTCCAACACAAGGAATTTCATAGTAAAATAGTAGCTTTACATGCATTTTGCACTGGCAAAAAAGATTTATAGCTGTGATGGAAGAGTATCTGAAAACACTAGTTATGAATACTTCCTCTTGTTTGCTTCCCAGAATTCTTGTGAAAAAATCCTTTCTTTTACTATAACTGTAATTAATGTCCACAGAAGAGGACCCCTGATTTTGACTTCAGTTTATTGGTGCTGTTAGAACAGAGACAACAACAAAATTAATAACATAGCAGAATTCAGGACTAGGAGGTTAGAGCTTTGTGAACAATGAATGCCATCCCAAACTCATGTCAATATAGTCTTTATAGCCTGTCAGCTGATCATGCTTTCAATGCCTGTGAAGTCCTAGGTTCCAGTCCTTGATCCAAGAGCAGTTTCCACTTTGTCCAGTGGTTCCTTCACATAAAATACATAACCTGTTTGTGGAGCAGGATTACAGGTAGGACTTCACATTATTTATAAATGTATCATAGGTAGATCATAGCCTCAGATACATGGGCTTTATCCCACTTATGTTCTTACTGGTTCAATGTTCTTTCCAGCTCTGGCACAGCTTCAGCATGTGGTGTGAGGGTCCTGAACCAGAAACAATCTGTGATCTGCTCGGTGATAACAATCGTCTCCACTAAGAGATGAGGGCTCCAGTATTAAATCCAGCCAGGCAGAGGAGAGAAATGAGCCTAGGTGTCCCACCTGTGTGAGTAGTTTAACCACTAATGTATTTAGTAATAGAAGGGCTGCATAATAACAACCAGCAAGGTCCCCATAGGGTTAGAAGACAATAGGATCAAAGAGCTCTGAAAACTATAATTCAAGAGGCAGCCATAAAGTCTCCTGTAAGAATGGAATTAATTTTTTTCTTAATACTTTCTCACTGTATTCTTTAGCAAACAAGAAAATAAATGAGAACAAAAGTCTAAAAATATTAATTCTTCCATCCCTCCTTAAAATCTTTGTGCGAACTATTCTTACTGCTTTATATTGATTAGTTTTATAACCCTCAATGAATTTGAAAACTAAGTAGCAATGCTGCTTCTTTCATTCTACCAGCATTTTTTGAAACTAAAGAATTACTTTCCACACAGTTTGAAGCAGCTCCCTTTCCCAGAGATCATCTTAGCCAATAGACAGCTAAATATCACTGAAAGAGAGCTCCTAATCTGATTATTTACCTTGAAAGAGGTCATAACCCATTCCTTTAAAACACCCCCACAGCAAGACTGACAATAATAATAAGTAGAAAGGCAAACCAACCAGAAAAGAAATAAATAAAAGATCCATTTCTACAACATGATCTTTAATCCAGTTTCCATGATTTTAAATAAAAAAATAAAGCAAACAGACTCAAAAAAAGTGTAGATAAATTTAAATGCTTTAAAAATGAATTTATACTGAGCATTTCTGACGTGTTAGATTTAGAACATACATTCACTGGTAGAGGGATTTCAAAGCACATTTCTATTCACCATTTTTAATACCGCAATTACTTGTTTCAAAGAAAAATTTTATAATCTTTAAAGCATACCACAGCCCTATTTACTTTCCAAAGCCCTAAAAGAAAGTTTACATCAGCTCCTCTCAGAAGCCTAACATCCTTTCTCAACTTTATTTGATATCTTGGTCAATTTTCTCTAAACTTTTTAATAATTGCAACAGTGTGAAAAAATTAGCTTTTGTTTTATACTGGAATATGTGCATATAAGCTTGTGTGTGTGCATACATGTCTACATGTCAATGTGTAATGTTAGCTGATCCTCATACAGAAATGACCCCCAGGCTAATAGTCACTAAATTCCAAATTTTAGGCAGAATCACCAGTAAGCTAAGTCCACAGTAGAGAAGCTGGAGTGATTACCACTCCTGATTCTTTCTTCATTAACTAATAGCTCAGTAATCCTCAAAAGTTACTAAATATTTGAAAGCTAAAATTGAATTTTTCTTTTTTGAGTGTTAAAACCTTACAAAATAAGTATTTTTTGTGTCAGGTATCTCAGACTGCATGGAGACTTCATAGCAGCCTTCCAGTATCTAAAAGGGGCCCACAAGGATGCTGGAGAGGGACTCTGGGGACTGTAGTGATAGGACAAGAGGTAATGGGTTAAAAGTTAAACAGGGAAAGTTCAGGTTAGATATAAGGAAGAAATTCTTTACCGTGAGGGTGGTGAAGCACTGGAACAGGTTGCCCAGAGAAGTGGTAAATACTCAATCCCTGACTGTTCAAGTCCAGGTTGGACAAAGTCTTGGGCAGCATGGTCTAGTGTGAGGTGTCCCTGCCCATGGCAGGGGAGTTGGAACTAGATGATTTCAAGGTCCTTTCCAACCCAAACCATTTTAAGATTCTATGTTATGGAATTTATCCTTTGTGAAGGAAAAAAGTAAGTAAAACTTTAGAATGTTGCATTGGAAGTTGACCTCCAGAGATTGTGTCTTTATTCCTGGATACACAGAAACAGGGAAAGGGAACTAAAATGTATGTGCATCAACCAGCAAGCCCATTGATGTTTAGTAATATCATCATTTCACTTTGATATTACTGACATCAGTAAATAATAGACCCAACTGGACCAAGAGTGTAGAATATTTTTCTGTGGAAAAAAACCTTTATGTGAAAATTATTTCTCCCTGGTATTATCTTTTCTATAATTTAATAGGAGCATGACACCAATATGAGTATAAATACTCCATTCTCCATGGCTTTCAATAATTTAGAGTAATTCTTTTATATAGTGTTGCAAAGAATTTTTGCCTGCAGATTTTTGTTTGCTGTGTCCTAATACTCACAAGCTTGTATTTTAGAATTAATCTGTTTCAAAACAAGACATAAAAAAAGCTCAAATAATTTATTAGTTTAACAACACCCAAGTTATTAGGTAGCAGTCAGTGAGCGTTTTTCATGCTGTTAGCTTTAGTAATTTATTTTCCTTTCTGAAAAAGATGCTGTATTTACTTATCAACAGTACACAAAACAGCTTCTCCAAAGCTCATTCTGCTCTAACAATTACACCTATGTTACTTTCCTCAAAAAATAGAGTTCATGTAAGAAAACCCAAGTGGGACAACAACAAAATGTGCACATTATCACAGAATATGTTCTTATCTAATTGTTACATTTGCTTACTGTAATGTACTGTTTTTCATGTCCTTGGAAAAAAATCATAATAGCGGCTCAGATTTCATCTCTACAGATTTCAAAAGCTTCTGAAGACTCTGAACTGATAATGCAATAGTTCTAAGGAATTCATGTGTGAGTACATATGTTGTGTGCTGTCCCTCTTGCAAAAAAAGCCAAACACGTACTTACCCCAAGTCCCCCACAAGGCAACAAGGAAAAGAGTTTTTGAGACACATTTCCTATATATTAAAGAAAAAAAGAAACAATGAGCATAATTTATTAAAAAAAAAAATTTAAATACTGGAACAGTAAGCACTCTTTACTGTAATTGCGATTTTGATATCACACAATGAAAATATCAGATATTAGAATAAAAAATAATAATAGTATTTTGAAAACAAATCAGCCATGGGATATTTAAGACACTCTTTTGCAACAGTGACAAATCTTAAGATTGGTAAGCCATAGTTTCAAAGGAGTATAATGATCAAATCTCCACAGAAAGTCACTCTGAGCTAGGACGACTAATCATCCTGATATTTGAAGCTGATAAGAAGCTTGTCTAAGCTAGTCATCTCAGATTCTTCCAATCTGTGGAATGGGGAAAGTATCTTTACCCAGTCTAAACCAATGCAGTGAATTATGCTTAAGGAGTGCGTGTTTTTTTTTCACTGAACAGAGGGAGCCTCATTAAGCTTTACATGAAACTGAAAACTAATTTCTTAACTTCATCTCTCAAAAAAAGTTTCTCCTTTGAAAATCACAACCTTAGTCTATCTATGCAAAAATGCTGTTCTCTTCATTAATGTATCATCATATAATACATTAATATTTCACAAATATAAAAAGCAATACTATTTGTTTAAGTATTGCTCAGTAAATACATTCTACTAAATGGAATAAAAACTTAGTAGGCTTTAGAATCTAACTTCTAGCTTGCTCTGCTCTATATATTAGATGATGTGACAGGGTTTATCTTATATTTATACTCACTTTTTATTCATTAATGTTTTCCTTTTTTTTTTGTACCACTAGATTCACTGTTTGTCTTGATAAGGACAATATGAAAACCAGGTAAGGATCTCAGTATTTGATGCAGTTCTTATCCCAGTGTGTAATCTGATCCTAAGGCAGCTGTGGAAGAGAACATAAACTTTTTCCCTGTCTTATCACCAGAACTGGCTTTGTAACTTTGCCATCTGGAGGAAACATTAGATAGTGAATCACTCAAGTCAACTAGAGGAGCCACCCATTGTTATGGAATGGGTGAATGCTGCAGTTACTCATGTTTAGCAGGTGCCAATGAAATGCATAAAGACAAGGCATCATCTTTGAAGTACAAGAGACCAGACTGCAATGTCTGAGATGAAGAAAGTGCTTTACACTTTGAGTAAAATCTAAGATGCATTTTTAATGGACTAGAGGCCTTTGATCAGATTGATAACAGACTTTGCAGAACAAGAAAAACATTGAGATTTCATGAAGAGAACAGTGGGGAAAGCTTCAATTAGGGGAGAGTAGGGCCATCACTTAGCTAGCTTCACAAAATGAAAAGAGCTCACAATGCTAGCATAAATGAAAATAAGCAGCAAAAAGAAAACCCTGAAAATTAATCAAAGTGAGAATTTCTCATGATGTTTGGAGTTGATATTCCAGCAGAACTTGGTACATAGTAGTCATTTTCCAGTTACACCCTTCCACATCCCAGAGTACTTCCATGATAATAATCATAAAAAATACATTAGGATAGCTCAAGTAAGATAGAAGACAAATTTTAATTAATACTTTTTCTGGCTTTGTCTCATGACAGAATTTGTAGCTACCAACAAATTACTTGAGAAAAAAAAATCTTTTAGGTAAGATTTAGTAGAACAATTGACTGATAGAGCTAGAAATAATATCCAAGATTTGCACTCTAAAATTCCAACACACAAAGGTAATAGAAGCTGGTTAGTCAAATTAGGTGCTCAAGAGCCCATCACTGACTAAGGTCAGGGTCCCTACAGGAATCAAGGAAACTGCTTAGGAGGTTGACAATTGAGGACTGAGAGTCTGAGAAGCAGGAAACGTGATCGGGAAAAACTTTCAGAAAAATTAGCAAATTTAAAAGTATGTTCAGTTATAAAAAGGCACAATTTGGGGGACCTGACTCTTTTCAGTATCATCACTCAGGAACAAAGCCATTTCCTCCAAGTAGTCATTTTTTCACTAACTTGCAATTGCACAGGTGCTCTGTGAATGGATCTTTTAGTTGTACTCTAAACACTGCCTCCCAGTCACGGTTGTGTTGACAGCATATTTCTCACTTTTACAAACTTGTAACTTTTGGAAACTTGATTTTTAGAAACACTTTCTTAATTATGGTTGAAGAGGGAAAAAGCAAATAAATTTGTAAGACCTGTTTGATAAGTGCTCTGCCCTTGAGCTTATTCAAAGAGATTTGAAAGGTTTTCTTCTGTCACAAGAAACCACAAGGTGATGTGATACATAGCTTGCATATTATTTTCCTTCAGGTCAAGACAATGTACTGCAACAGTACCACACTGAAATACAATCAGTAAAAAAGCTTAACTATGCAATTATGTAGAAGTTGAAGTGATCATTTACAGTAGCTTCATTTGAAGGTCCTGATGCAGGGAAAATAAAGCCAAGAGTTCAAGCCAGTTTATTCTCTGATTTCAGTCGTTTCAGCTGTTTTGCTTTGCAGCCCTCCAGAACAGACCTTTTTTTTTCCAAGAAAAAACACTGAAATAAGCATTTATTGACAAGTAGCACATTTCTAGCCCTAGTATGTCTTAAATCTCATTTCTGCTTATAGCTGCTTCAGACAAAGCAGATGTACTCATGTACCCTCTCTTCTGAACAGGGAGAGGGAGCAAACACTTTCCTAGAACACAAGTAGAGAAGAAACAGTACCACCGTCTTCTTAGGTGTGCAGAGGAGTAAGGAAAGGTCCTCCTTTTCCTTAGGATGCAAAGCCATAATTTGATGGAAATATTTCTATAGAAAAAAGCACTTTCATTGAAATAGAAATGTTTTATGAGATGATGTTATTGATGACATTTTTTTAAGAAACATCTCCTTCAGATTTTTTTCCTCTGCTACACACCATTTTGAATTTCTATACTATACCAAGATGTTAATTTTAATGTCCGGATTCGTTTGGTTCAACCTCACTGAACTGGGGACAAGGGAAGGTGAAACAATCACACTGCATTTTGTGAATATGTAAGAGACAATTAAGTTCCTTTACATAAGAGTCTGGAAACCCAAATGATTAGTGCTTCCAGCCAAAAACCAGGCACATGCAAAAACATGTGGGAAGGGTGTTTTATTGACTGTTGCCTTGGTAAAAGGCCATGTGAGATGCAGCAACATCCTAGAAGCAGAGACAGAAGAGGGCAATAAGCCAAGTATACACTCCGCATATATGCTAGGAGTGGGATCTTGATATAAACTTAGAGAGTAAATGTTTTGGACTAAGTGTCACATAAAAAAGGCAGAGTGTCAAGTAAAGAACTGTGGGTAAAGAAATGGCTTTCTGAGACTGGATAAACAAAGATTTCTACATTCTCTGCGCATAGGCAGAAACACAGAGGGGATACCTGAGTCCATTCCTTTTTTCACCTCATAACTGCAGCTACACACTGCACCCCATATGCTGGTCAACCACTGAGATCCAAATGGGAACATTTGTTATCATTAATATCACAATACATATATTGGTAATGTATATTAAATAATGTGAAAATTAAAATGAAATGAATAAAAATAAGATTTAAATGAAATGTTTGACTATCAAAATGGAACATTTTGACAATGTTGATGAACTCAAAAGGTTTAAACATTTTCATTTTACAGGAATTTGCACCTTTTCCTTGGAAACACTTTTGGGGTTTGGTTTGTATTGTTTTGTTTTTAAAGTGGGTTTTCCTACCTTGGAAATTCAAGCTTCAGAGAATTTATCTTACTACAAGTATTTTTCAGTTTTGATGTTGCCTTGGCTAAGATGTACAAACCTAGATAATACTGTGATCAAGACATTGCTCTTATGTGCTCTTATGGCTCACCAAAGCAACAGTCTGCCTTAAAGAAGAAACTCTTAGCATTAGTTTCCAAAGCAAAATAATTGCTATGTATTACTAAAACTGTGGCAGCATTTCTTTTTATGGCTAGTATTGATTTTGTTTAGGCTGGGTTTCGCTACAATTAGGAAAACAGCCACATTTTAGAATAAATGTTATAAAAATAGCTGAAAATTAAAGTGTTTCATCCAGTGTGCTGGTACATAAATGGAGGAATTTCACCCACAGATTATTTCCAAAATGCACTACCTTTTTGTATGCTTCCTTTCACATTCTCTGTAGCAGGTCTGACAAGTAGATCTGGTTCAGTGATACACTCATGGCAGAGCTCAGTTCAACCCTACTTTTCTATTATAAAAAACATACACCAAGCATGGGCTGTGCATGAAGATATTTGATGTGAAAATACTGTCAGTTTTCTGCTATTCTGTACATCCACAGGTCTATTTAATATTTTAATGTGTTTTTCCCTCCTGTTACTTAGGAATATACCATATACTGTGTAATGGGAAGGCATTAATATAAAGTTTACTTATTAGCAAGACTTAGGCATAGTATCTGCACTCACTGGGGCTGAAATGATTGAAATAAAGCATATGAGAACAGCAAAAAAGCAATTCTGACAAGCAAGTGATTCTTAAGCTCTCATTTTCAAATCAAAGAACACAAAGAGATAGAAGACCAACGATATTCAAAATTGCCATTGACCTCCAACAGACAACAAATTACAGTAAAGCGTTAACACTTAGATGGTTTTTGAAGCAAATGAGTAGAAACAACTATTGCTGCTTTCCAGCCTGCGCATTTTGCTAATCTATATTTGGCTGCCATTGTAACATTTTCCTGCCACATAGCAATTCATTTGGAAAAAGTGAATTTTTGTCACACTGCTTGCCAAGTATTTTAAACTGACACCAGCTATGACTAATGACAAGGCTGGAATGTGCTGTTCTCAGTAGAATAGAGGCCTGTACAGACCTAGGAGTTTCCTGGGGTCCAGCTTCTGTCTGTTCAAGGGGCTGGTGCCATACAGCAGTGAATGATGTTCAGAGTGAACCAGCTGTATTTCCTCCAGACTGGCTTTTCGACCTCGAATTCGCTGAAAGAAAACAGCAGAAGCCTACAATATTCCACTGACAATATTTAGGGAGAGAAAAAAAAAAGAAGTAAACGTCCAAAATAACATTTAGTATGATTAATAATGGGTTGAAATTGCATCATGCAGGAATGTGACACTGATTTGTTTATTAAAGTAATGCTATATGAAAAACAAATGTGTGTGTGGTTTATCACAAATGCTTCATTTAAGTCTTAGCAGAGTTAACACAGGGCTTCGCATACAAGAAAGTGAAAATATTCTGATCCTCTCTTCTGCATTATATTAAGAGATACAAACCAAAAGCTGAAATATTTCTTAGCTAAGAAATCTGGCTAGAAAAACTGCAGTCTAAAGAGCAAAAACTTATTCACACCTGTGAGCTACAGCTGTACTCTGAATAAGGACTAATGTTTTTTGCATCACTATTAGGACTTGTGATTTATGCTGCTGGAAAGAAGATGATCACAGTAAGGATAGCCAGGGAAAAGAAGAAAATTAAAATTTAAATACTTTACTAAAATATTTCTATAACTTTTCATTTCTGAAATGCAAGTAAGTTCAATATCCGAGGATCACTTCTGCTGTTACACATGCTGACTCACTTCCTTTTATAAGTGGAGTTTCTCTTTTAACTGTTTCTCCAGCCTGTACTCTCCCCACTTAAATTAGTGTTAAAAAAATCTGGGATGTCTTTCTCTCTATAAATCCATTGAAATTTAACAACTTTAGGAAGGAAAATATAAAAGAAGGAAGAAAAGATAAAGCAAACACTTCCTTATTCAGCAGATCTGTTGTTGTATGTATTTGGAGTTACAGGTTGTCATGAAGATATTTACCTCTCTGCTTGTGCTAATGCTGCACAACCTTTGCAGAAACATGAAGCGGATTTTGTTCAGGTTTAGGCATAATAAACAGCACTGTCAATAAAGTTCTGGTTCCAAGATCATCTTTCCCACTGATATTGAATAATGTGGGGGAAAAACAGCCTGTTTTTTAGGTCTGTAGCACTTGGGGCAAACCCTCTTCTAATTTAGATTGTAGATTTGTGTGAATGTCAAGGTCTACAGGTAAACAGGTACAGAAGTTATCAAAATAGACAATTCTATTTCTAATAGACTGATTAACCTGTTACAGAAATGTTACACAAGTCTAGTTTTCTTAGAGGTTAAGTTGTAATTCTTATTATATCCATCCCCTACACATGCACATCAGAAAGCACCAACCTCTTCACTAAGAGAAGAAAGCAGTCTTTTAAATGTTAAAGAGAATGTGCACTGCAAAAGAGAGAAACTGCACAGGGGAGGCAGAATAACCATGTAAAATTTATATTGAGTTAAGCAGCAGCAGTTTTTTTCTGACTAATCAGGAAAAATGTTTCAAGAGTTAGATCTAGATGACTGTGGAACAAGCTTCCCTCAGGGAAATGGTGGAAGTTCTATTTCTTGCAGTGTTTAAAAACTGACTGGACACAGCAGTGGAAAAAACATTTTAGGGAATGATCCAAGAATTAAATGACTTAATAAACCCTTTTTCATCTCTAACTTCTTCAAGCCTCTTCCAGTCTCACATGAGAACTTGTAGCAGTGCATTCACGTCCTTTTAACACACAGTTGCATAATCAAAATCAGCACATTATGTCACCTCATGGAGTCAGTAAACACTGTAATGGTTCTTCTGGGTCAGATAAAATGTTTTTCTTCACAAGAGAGGTGACTGGTAACATTTATTCATTCATCCATTCTCATTAAGGTCTATGCTTCTAATAAGCTGCTTTAAAATCTGTATACCCAATTTTCCACAGCAAAACTGGGAAGGCAGGCTGACTTTTAAGACAACTAAAACAAATGTAGAAAAAAAGTAAAGAGGTATTTTATGAAGGTCACATCAAAGAACCTTGAGTAGAATACTCTTTGGTCATATATTTTCTACAGGTTATACAAAAACTTGTTAGGAGATGTTTAAGAGAGTTAATTGGCTTTTTTTAAAGCGCTGTTAAATGCCATAGCCCTTTAACCATAAAAAGACCTGCAGCTAGCCATTATTTTTACAATGAGGAGCTATGTGAGAGCTAATCTGGCAGTGGCCTCTGCAGAACGTTTTGCCAGTGACCCAATATTGCCAGCCAGATTCTTTAGGGGAGAAATAGGTTGTGGCAGAAATAAGGTAGCACCAAACAGGATGCCTCACTCCAGTGTCCTTGGAGCACAGCCAAGAGATGAGTTGCCAAGGCAGGCACAGCCCAGGGCTGCTCTTTCTCCATGGCTTCTCCAGCTCCAACCTTGAGTATTGACAAGTGCATTAAAAAGTAAATGGCAGGAGGAAAGGGAAGGGTAAGCTGTACACTCCTGTGCTCTTTTGCATTCCCATCTCTTCATTTACTGTCGCTTTCATCCCACCCTTGCAGCATTTCTGCATATCAAGCCATTTTCAATTAAAATCAGAACTAAGGCTCTCCACAGGGAAAAAATAATTTATATTAAAAGTTAACTGTATTAACTGCTAAGAACAATTATCTTTAGATAATGATGTCAGGATTTAGTAGTTCCATAAAAGCATGTCATAAGTCTGTTGCCAGAATCTGGAATCACATAACTTCAGTTATGCAAAGCAATAGTTTCTTGCTCTCACTAGCGTGAGTTATCAGAAAACATAAGATAATCATTTGAATAACTTAACACATATGCTTTTTTCCACATCTTTTTATTTTAAAGTGTCTTTCTTAATTTTCATTGGCCATGGTTGTATTGAAACCCTCAATTGTAATAGAAAGCAGAAAATTTACATACGGCTAATGAAAAAGGAGAAATAGCAAGCACTTGTTTCATTCAGGAGGTTTTGAGTACTACAACCTTGCATCTAATGCATCCTTAGTAGAAGGCAAGTCATCCTTTTCTAATGTGCATGAAAATTTGTGTGTTGGCTTTTTCCTCTGACATAAGTAGTTCCCCCGTCAACAGAGACATTTATGCATCTCAGGACTGCAAAATAGGTGATGCTTCAAAAAATCAGTCTAGAACTGGAAAGTTATTCTCCCCACAACAGAGAAAACTTTCACCTTTTGCAGAAGTTAAGGTCAAAGAGGACTGCCTAGTCTGGTCTTCTGTTTAAAATAGACCATTAAAGTTTCACATCAATAACCTCTATTAACCTGAGGATTTGGGTTAGACTTTCAGCGGACTAAACTCTTACACAATCAGAGATTCCAAAAAACAAAGGTGACACTGCCTGTTTCTCGCAGAAGTTCCCTTAGGTTATCTAGTTTATAAACAAGGTCTTTAAGGTTTTTCCTAATTTTCTGCGATTTCTTGTGTTAAATTCACTCTTGTTTTTAATAATGCACACAGATAATATGGATTTTTTGCCAGTCCATACAAACACATCATTTGCTCCCCCTTCATTATGTGGGAATTGCAAGCATATCTCTGATGCACATGCACCCACATACGGGTGCATTCATTTTCTTCATGTGTTTTGGTTGTCCAGTGCCTAATCTGAATATGGTTAATGCTACAAAGATTTTTGCTCTTAAAGACTATTTCTTCCTGTATTATTTCTTCAGTCATAAACTGAGGTTCAGAGGATAAATTTTTTAATATATTTTTCAGTTGATATTATCTGGTAAGCTCAAGGTTATTATAATATTTAAATTTGTTTCTTCTCTACCTTCAGTCCATAAGATGTGGACAGCAGAAGGTGTAAGATGTTCCCCTAATCCAGAAAACTACTGATATTCAGATCAAATTCCAGTCTGAAAAGAAAAATGCTGCTGGACAACAGTCCTTAAGGGAAGTGAAGGTCGGGCCACAAAGTGGGACCATGTCTACATTCTTCTTTTCTTTTCTAAAACAGTGCTGATTAGTGTAGCCTAAATTATGGCCCCAAAGGAGATATGTAAATACTTCCTCTCCTTATAACAAGTAGAAAACAGACACCATTACCAAAATATAATTCAGTCTTTTTTCTGTCCCAAAGATAAGACAGCTGTGCATTGCTCCATACCAAGACAAAGTTGAAAAAAAAAAAAAAAAAAAAAAGATAGTGGATGTTTTTATTTCAACCTTTGCATCTTTTAGCGGCCCTGTTCTGGTGCTGCATTGGTACCTGTCTGTCCTACATCTGTCTGTTTTTAACAAACACAGAATAGATATTTCAGTAAAAATACACAAAACTACAAACCAATTCAAAAATATTGTGTCTGAATTTTATTTTCTCAATACAGTTATACCAACATTATAAAAAAATCCATTACATGAGGAAATTACTCCATTCTCTTGCCCTGGGCTCAGTCAGGTACAGGTCTCTCAAGTCCAGAGCTGTCCATAGTCTGAATTTGTTTCTCCTTTGTCTTGGGGAAGACAATGGGGGACATAATGTACCTACTTGGAAGAGTAATATGATTTAAAAAAAAAAAAAAAGTCCTAAAGCTATAAGTTGTTTCTCAATTTAGCAGAAATCCTCTACATTGTTGTTTGAATAACTCTAGAGCTCTAATATCTACAGCTAGAAAAACAAAGTACAGTCTGGAAAAGCAAGCCCTTTTGGCTGTATCTGCAGCAGTAAATTAAGCAGTGTCAGGAAACATTCCCAGGCAGAGGAACACAGTCATCTGTATTATTAAATTGCTAAAGTGGCGCTTCACACCATTTTGGCTGAGCAGCAGCTAGCACTCTCCCAAACGACTTCCAGACATGGTTTGGTCACTGGCATGGGTCAGGGAGCATTCCTGGTAGTATGAACATGAGCCTTTCCATTCCAGTTGGCCACAGTGGTGAAGAACAATCCTAGTCATATTTTATTTTGTAATGAAGACACAGCTTTGAGCACCCTAGTCAAACCCTTTGTGATTTTACCAAGTTATATTTAAAAAATGCTATATAAGGGGGTAATATGAGCAGTATATATAGGTAATAGATTACATTTAGGTTAATCTAAGTAGATTAATCTTTTAGCTGCAGTAAGCATGGTGTCAGCCCAGTATATATGACTTCCACTATTCCATGCCCCCTTAAATGACAGTTCTCTGTGCCCTTGGCCAGTCATCTCTCCAGGGCCATAGTCCTGAGCTGTGTGAGAGACGTTAATCCACATTGCATGATTTAGGAACACATTTTACTCCAACAAAGACAGCACAGATATAAAGTTCTCATTCTTATTAGGATTTCTTCTCAGATTAAGAAAATAGAGAGCGCCTCCTGGCACATGCCTGTGGCCAAGGATACACACCTTGAAAGGTAACAAGATTTGAGCTACCTCTGACTGAACTAGCCTTGATCCTTGAAACTCCTCATCAGACAAAGAGTGGGACTGCAGATCTCTTGTGGGACAATTATTTAGTAAAAGGGGAAAAAAGAAGGTTCACAGTTACTGCAGAGGATTTCCTAAATGGTGTTACAGGTTGCTATTCTTAAACTGCCCTTCAGGCTTGGTGCATGAGGCAGTGCACATGGCAAAACCTGACCAGTGATCTCCCTACTCCTTCTGACAGAAACTGGGGGAAATTATATGAGAAACTATATTAAGAAATACTGATGTCCATCAGGGGGCATTCAGAAGTCAGTAAAGAAGACAACGGATTTTTTTGTGATGCTTTGACTCCTCATTCTCAGTGTGGTATATTTCAGAATGCAGTTTAGTGTCAGCCTATTATTTCTTGAATAATGCAATAACCTCTCCTTTAGTATCAGGAGTCATATATTCAGCTGAATTACCTTTCTAAAAAATCAGAGCACCAATTCAGTGAATCACCACAGCCTTCCATATTTTGAAAAATGAGCACATTTAAGGATGTGTTTGATGTCAGGTAAGTGATAAAGAATTCAGTGAAGCAAAAGACAGATCGCATCACCAAATAAAGTCTTGTCTTCCGCTACATAATAGGATCAAGCTAAGCACCAAATCTACACATCAGCTTCACATTGAGGTTCCTCAAATTTTTATCAACAAAGTTCACATTTTGAAGGCACATTTCACATTCCAGCCTCATTTCAAAGCACATAATTCTTTGAAACATAATGGCACATAATGGCACAAAAAAGCCATTCGACATGAAGTAACTTATTTCCTTTTTGCCCAGTCACTGGATTTTGCAAGACCTTCCAGGAAAGTATTGGACTGCACACACCTCAGACTAAACTATATAATTTTTCCCATTTACAACTTTTGCAGATGCATGTAAGTTACTGTTGAGAACTGTTTTTACTGAAGAAAGCAATACAACCCAGTACATTTTGTTTTACTTATTTTCTCCTTTTTTTTTTTTTTGTTTTTTGGTCTTTTGCTTATAAACTGGGTTCTAAGTCAAGAAGGTAACTAGTGAAGCACTTTGGTTTGGAGAATTTTACTGAAGAACTTGGCTATGTACTTAACTGACTCCCTAAGTATGCAATCCCACCAATGAAACCACTCATGTGATATGAGGCCTTAAGAGCCTTGCTGAAAAGTCTTCTTGAAGGTTTAAAAAAAAATTATCCAAGCTAAAAAAAAGGGTTAGCCTGTTAAGAGTGCTGCCATCTAGTTAGATGTGTGTATGCAACAAATCCATTTATAGTGCATGCAATATCTCACTGCACAGTACACTAGGCTACCTGAAGAAAAATCTTTGTGGACAGTCGTTAATAGCTTATTAAAGGAATCTATTGTATGCGTTCATTTGGGTTTGTAAAAACTTAAGTATATAAAGAAAAATAATTAAAGAAAATAGACCATAAATGCCTTGGAAATTTTTGGATCCTGCAAAACAAGCAAATTTGTGCTGAACTTTGTTAACTTGTGCTGCAGTGCAGTAAGCACCCTGAGTTGCCACAGGCTTCTGCAAAAGCTGACAGTTCTGCACAACTCATGGGAAGCAGTCAATGACAAGAAAAGGATGTTTTTCAGTAACCTAAGTCATATGTACACCTCAGAGCCTATATCTGATTTAAGCATAATGTTTTAATAAACAATTCTGTGAGAGAAATCAAAGCAGGAGAAAGTTCAACATTTACTCTGATACTGTCAGAAGATTGCACTTGAATGTCTTGGGTTTTGACATGGTACCAGTTGTACACCAGGCAAATGAAAATGCTATGAAAACAGACTTTAAAGTCTGAAATAATAGAAGATGCAGTGTGCTTATGGAGTAATACAAAATACATTAAAAAAACTCTAGTGTTCTATGCTCCTACAGAAATAAAATCTTCAGCTGCTTGAAAAAGTTAAGAACTATGCTGTTGAAAAGACTGTACTTGCCATTTGACAGCTGCTTGTCTACCTTCCTTTATCTATATTCTGATGCATATGAGTAAGTAACTTTCAATGTGTAAATTCTTTGTTTTCTGTTTGGAAAGTGTGCTTTCCTAAAATGCATTGTTTTGATATTGTCAGTTAAATAATTCCTAAGACAAATTATTCTCTTACAAAAGGATTTAATAAATTTGCCATTTAGTTTAACAAGTAAAATATCTTGTCTTTATTTTTTATTACCTCACACTTGTTTAGCAACCCAGTTTCTTGCAGCCTTGACCAGATGCTTTGGATCCTTCCGGCATGTTCAGGGTGATTAGCATAGTTTCCACACATACACTGGTGCTTCAACATGAGACTGTCATATACAACACCTTCAGCACAAAGACAGCACAACAGGAAACAAAAAATGAGAGAAAGGCAAGTTACACTGTCCTGCGTCATGCATACTAGAGCACAACTGGATTTTATTTAACACTTATAGTGAAATTAAAATTCTGGATTTTAATTCCCTTTTCCTCTGGGAGGTTCTGAATTTTGAAATACAAGTTACATCTTGTGATATTGATAAGGCAAAAATGCATTCTCAAGAAATTATACTAACAAATGCAATTAGCTGTAAATAAGAATGAAACTTGGTAGTGCCTTGTTAAAGCTTTTACAGATAGAAAAGTTTCAGTCCTATTACTGAATCACTTGTTTTCCTCTAGTGCATAAGGTCAGCTAAGGCTGTTAACCTACATATAACACAAAAAGGCTATTTATTCATAGCAGTGTCACGAAAGTCACTCACAAAAACCTTAAAAAATAATGAAATGGTGATCCCACTCTGTATTTTTGCTGCCAAACTAGTACTATATTAATTCCAGATCTCAAAAAATATCAGATGAAACTTTCAGAGAGCTGCAACAGTGACAGCCAGCGTCCTTTTTTATTAACAGGAAAAGTTCCACCCACTACTCAATCAGGAACAAATCCTATTGTTAGACTGCAATGAAAGGTACCTTTTGAATTTTCTATGCTCATTTATTCAAGGACAGAACAACTGTATATGGAACAGTTATCAATATCACATTGCTCTGTAGCTGTATAATAGCAGAAGAGAAATTTCAGTAAGTAGGCTTGAGCTAACCTCAATTTTCCAGGCATTCAAATCAAGTCTGAAACACTGAAAATGGTTTTATTTATTTACTTGTTGTTTGCATTTCCCTCAGAAATGTTTGGAATAAAAATATTTTCCTTACACCTGTGAAAAATTTGAATTTTGGAAACATTTGAATTTTTCATCCCCTTAAAGTTGAAAGGGACTTAAATTAACAATTTCTCCAAACCGCAAAACTCGGCATTCAAAGCCTCTTTCTTATGTGCCACCAGTACTGGGGATGCCAACACAGTTCTGGGAAAATTGTGTTAGCCTGCTACTGAAAAGTCAGCAAGTGAAGAAAGTATAAAACTGAAGTCCAGATTCAACAACATGCTCAATACTACCCCTATTTAGCAAAGTTCTTGAATGGATATTACATGTTATTAAAGTGTTTTAAAACTCTGCTAAAAGTCAGTATATATTGTGGACAGGTTCTGAGATAATACAGTTAGAAGCCAGACACAAATTATGCTGCTCTAGAAATATTTATGCTTCCATATTTCTTAGCTTATGCACTTTAGAACTCATCCTTTGCAATCTTACTATTTCGCCAAAATGATAATACAACAGTTATGTTTAGCTAAAGGAGAACGCAAACATAATGCCTATGTTGAGCATGACTGACTATGCTAAATGATCATCTAACAAACAGAATAGTTCGTAAGAAATAAATTTTCTTCTGAATATTCTTCTGAAGAAAAGAACAAAAAATCAGTAAAAATTTTCTGAGGCTAATAAACTAATGCAACTGAAAATCTCTGCTGGCATTGTCAGCGCAGTTGGTAATTTCCTTTTTCTGCAGTTATTTCCACTGTGGTGTTTATAAGTTTTGTTGCTCTATCATCAGGTCTTACAAGTTATTTGAAATAGCAAGTATGTGCATGAATTAGTCCATGCTCACATACTTTGCTTTCCTTTTCTTTGCACCAAATGTTTAAATTTTGCATTCTGCTGTATACGCAGATCGTACAGTTTGCCAGTGATCATGATACCATTAGATAAGAAAACTTTTCCTCCCATCCCCCTGCCTAACAGAGAAGGTGTTTAGATGCTAAATGTTCATGCATCAGGACTTTCAGAAGCTCTTAGGCAGAGAAGTCAGTTACATCTAATGGATTTGAATGAAAATACTTATTAAATGCTAAAAAAATTAACTGAAAGTGGAAATTATCTCCAGCCAGCCACTCTTTCAATGAATGTTTAATTCTGATTATCAATGCTCCCTACAGGCTTAGACTTCCATAGACTGAACTGAAATTAATAGAAAAAAAAATTTACTATGTTATTATTATGCAGAATCTATATGTTATATAGTAATGACACTTTTTGATGACCTATATCAGAGTTGGAACTAATCCTTGGTTTTGAAGTGAAAAGCTGTACCTGTGTATTCAGGATGCCTCCTTGGTTGACATAGATATAAACATCCCTTTCTTAGTGAACTAGTATTTTGCCAAAAATACAATATAACTACAAATGTAATTTTATTGTATGCAAATTATTTTGTCCTAATCAAAAAACAGTTTAATAAGGTTAAGTCAATATTGCATGGCAGAAGCATCTCTTCCAAATTTTTAAATACTGATATTCACACCACTGAGTGTGAAATTAATTTCTAGAAGGATTAATTGACTTAAGAAAAGACTGAAATATATGTTTTCATTTACTGGAAGCATCTAAATTGATTTAGGATGTTCAAGTAATTCAGATGTGTGGCTGCTGCTCATACAGAACATGCGCTTGGTACAATACCACAATGCAGCTGTAGAGCTTACTGCTAAAAATAGCCTGTAGGATTTCACTAACAGAATTCAGCCAATAACCTCCCCACCCCCACAAAAAGAGCAAGAGAGAGAGAGAAACAACTGTTTTCAATTGCAGACTGCTGTGAAATATTAATAAAAGATGGTTATTCTGTCTCTCCAGAGCAAACGCCTTCAGCCAGATTCTGCTCTCAGATTCATTGTGTAAATCTGAGCAGCTCTACTGAGACTGGTGGATTTATTCTGGATTTACACCAATATTAGAGAGGTCAGAATGCAGCCCTGATGACAGACTGGAATGGTGGTACCACTGAACCATATAATGATAAAGAACACAGGACAAAATAAACTGAACTTGCATTACGTCAGAAAAAAAACTTCTTGGTGAGGACTCCCTAACAACCATTCTTTTCCAAATACTTTATTTGGTTCAGCTTCTCTTAATAATATTTTAAACAAAAGGGAGATCAAGAAACCTAAAAACTGTTAGCTAACAATATGCTTTGAAGAAGGTGAAATGCCCTGGAGAGCACTGCTGATAAGAAAACCCAAGGGAAGAATATCTAATAAATTATTCAGAAGAAAAGTCTGAACTGAATCATGTCAAATATTCTGTAAACCATCTAAATGAACATCAGGTAAACTTTATACTTTTTCCATCTTTAACTCTTTATCTCATGTATCTACTGCATATATACTGCACAGCTCTTCCACAGATGTCCTCATTCTTATTCCCTTCTTATTCCATTCAGGGTTATTAGCCAATATTCCCTTCAGATATTTGGCTAAGAGCATTTTCTTAATGACTCACAAAAATATAGGCTCATTTAGATCCCCATGTAATATTCAGCCACAAGAGTTTTTCTTCTACTTTTTTTTCTCTTCCAGAATATATTATCTTTAAATAAGAAAAACAAAACAAACAAAACCAAAAATAAAACCAAAACCAAAACTAACAGAAACAAACAAACAAAAATCACACAAACAAAAAAAAAAATCCCCCACCAAAACAGTAATAAATAAAACAAGGCAGGGAGGTGTTTTTACATTAATTTCTAAAGTCTGAATTCAAACTCACTGCATGCTGTTCTCCCTTTCCACACACCAATTCCTTCTTTACATGTGTTTGAAAATGCTAGTGCTGCAACTGCTGTGGACTGCTTGCATCTTGTGCTCTGAGGTTGACAGGGATGTCTGTCAGACGAACCCTCTGCTCAGAGCAGGTCAGCACTGTAGTCAGATCAGTTTGCTTAGAGCTTTCAAGGTTCCTGAAGAATTTAGGAAAGGCCACGTAAAAATGGATAAAAACTGGGTCGACTTCTTTCTTTCCACTGACCAGTGAATAAATGCTAGGGCACCAGCCAGACCCAGGAAATAGTATGCACAAATAAATCCAGTCTATACCATACCCATACTGTACCATACCATACGTTTATAATACACATATCAATCTAGGTATTCACAGAAACTGTATTAGAACTGTTGAAATTTCAAAATATCAATTCATTGTGACTCCAAAAGTGTTAATCTCATAGAAATTATATTTTCAATTTACTCAGATGCAATAGCAACAAAGGTTATATATGTAAGTCTATAAGCCTAAAGACACGTCAGAGAAAGGGGCTTCTTCAAGCAGGCTTCATTGTGAATACAGAGGTTGCATCTCTCCATTGCATCTGAGAGCCTGAGAACTGGTCTAGCAGCCCAGGAGTACTGGCTGTTAGCAGATACAGCTGGGAAGGAGCTACAGCACTTTACTGTGTCTCCAACCAGAGCCTAGAGGATATGAAAGAGGCGAAGGTACAGAGCAGAAGTGGAAAAGCAGAAGCATAAAGTTGTAGAGAAAGTGGAAATTGGAGGACCTTTTTTCTTTAATGAGTAGAGATGTTTATCTTGAAAGAGCGGTGGATGGGGAAAAAGGCTTCAATAAGAGAAGAAACAAGGATTCAAGAAAAATATTTTGGTTTGGAGTAAGGAGTTCAGTGAAAGATTGAGTATCTCTGGTAGAATAAGATACATTTTTTCTCTCTTTCCTTCTTTCCTTCTTTCTACCTTTCCACTGATGTTGTGCATGTAGCAATACTTAACTAAAGGGGTATGTTAACTGTCTTCACAATCTTAACACCCTGACCCTCTGTATGGGCTGTCTGCATTTCTGTTGCAGAACTCATAAGACTTCCTTGTGCCATATCTCAAGCCCTTATGTCTGGTACTTCCTACTCTCACACAATCTCCTTTCAGTGTTTGTCCTACATAATTTCACCCTTTCTCTTATTCTTCCAGCTCAACTAAACATTTTCTTTCTTGATCATTTCCACTGATATCACAAGTTCCCAGATATAACGTAACACCCTTGACCCTAGTCCCCTTTCTGGGAACTCACAAAGGGAGATGTCAGTAAGCCTTAGCAATCAGATTGAAACAGCAGACTTTACATTTGTATCTCCATTCAGCTTTTCTAGTGGAACTGCAGATTTTTGAAGAGGACACTGAAGCCTGCACACTGTGAGTTCACTTCTGGTGTGTTTTGTGAATCTTTTAGCATGAGTTTACAGTGTTTTAGGGACACTGTGAAGCACAACTAGAAAAACAGTGGCCTTGTTTTAATAATCCTGTCTATACACAGCTGGGTTTTTTTTGCAGAGACTCATGGAAAATGAATTAGCATGGTTTTTGGGTAACAAATGTTTGTTACCCAACAAATAAAATTCTTTGCATCCATTTACCCACTTACTTGCAGTGCTTTAAGGACATCTATTTTATAATGTTATGTTTTGCTTTCCAAGTTCTCATTCTAGTTGGGAATATGGGAAAGCCTGCTGTCTTGCACAGTCTCATACAGTGCCCATTAACTCCATCATAGATCAATTCATGGTCACAGCCTGAAGAGTTGTAAGCTTTCAGGTCATGGCAAGTCTGCCAATAGATGTGAAGGAACTAATACCTCTGTCAGAAACCTGAATAAATGATATCTCCAAGTATTCATTTTCCCTTCCTTGTGCACAAAGTAAGTGAACCTTCACTTCTAAACGTGCTATAATGTTATCCTGGGATTCTGGCTCTTAAAAAGATGGGCACTCTTGCAAGGTTAGATTACCCATAATAAGAAATGGTGCTTGTGTCTTCATTTTTCTTCCTTTCACTGAAGATTTTTGGGGTTTCAATCACCTGCTTTGGACAGACCAGGCTATACCTGATGCTCCCTGAGTGAGGACTCCAAGGGCCTGACTGTAAATCCTTCCTCTGTAGACTCCACAACAGCTATTGAAAGATGCCAAAGTTGTAATCAACATCACCTTCTAGTCATGGCTACAGCCTTGCTATGTCTGCAGGGAAAGCAATCACGCAGCATAGACTGACTTATAAAATGAAGATGTCGAGAATTATATTGCAGCTTTCCTACTTACTGGTGGTCTCTCTTCAACTTCTTGGTGGTCTCTACAAAACAGGCAACAAGAACACAGAGAAAAGACCCAGAAGATAGAGAAATGAAAGAAAAAACTATGAATGACTTAAAAGCACCAAAAATGCACCTGTTACTATATTGCCATAGCCAGTCAAAATAATTTATGACTGTGTGAATATTAAGCGTGTGATTTATCAGCTGCACTGGTTGACTTGATGCCAGCACAGCATCATAAAACTGAGGAACAGTAAGGCTAAAACTGAATGCATTGCTGCAGGAGGCATTTGAGGCATTTAAGTCTGTTGATCCTACATGAACAAACGCATTTTCCTTGCCTATTAAAAGCAGTCTTTAGGGAATCCTACCAGTGGTGTAGACATGCTGGCTGGGCTGGTCCATATCTACTTGAGGTAATGTCGAATCAGCAGGGGAAGATGAAGTCCTGAACACTGGCTGATGTTTATCTAATCCCGCCATGCCAACTGTAGCCATCTGAGCCTGGTAGATTTGCAACTGGTGGACATGCCGATGCGCCAGGAGCTCCTGTTTCCAAGAAAACAGCACAGTAGAAAGACATGTGAGATGGGATCAAGTAAGACACTGAGGGAAACATGTCAACAAATTAAGTTCATTAGGTCAGGGCTGTAATAAACAGTGTGGACTCCCCCCCTCAACAACAACTCACAGCTAAGACCTAGTCAATAAATCCATTCAGCAGATGTTTTCACACTGACAGTGTGGGCTGCTGACTTTGCTGGAGAGTAGGTGATAGCAGGCAACCTGTCAGTTCTCCCTGACAGAGGGAAAAACGGTTTCGCATTCAAAGGCTTATAAAAGACAAAGGTTTTTCCAATATATTGAATACATAATATGATGTTAGAACATGCATGTTATGACCCTACACAAATAAAAATAAAATCTTCCTACAGCACAGAAAGTGAAAAGCGGTGTCCTTACTAACAAGTGCAAAACTTTCTGAGCAACTGTGAGTCAAGTTTCTACAGAGGTATCAGTTCCCAGAGTACTCTGGAAACCAGGAGCGATTTGAACATAGGTTTTCACAAATGGTTTAGAAATTCAGGAATTGTTACATGAGATCCCACTTGGGGACCATCTTTTTATGTCATAAATCCTGCCGGCTCTAGGCAGTGCCAGACTTCAGGAAAGGTCAGCGGGTGTGAAGAGACTGAGAGCAGAAAGGAAGATTTCCTCCTCTGTTTTGTTTGTCAACAGATGGTGAATTTTGCTGACATGACAAAAGGCTGAAACCCTGCTGAAGTCAGGAGAAACTTCGGCATTCACTCACTCCACAGAGCAGAGTTGCTCCACAAGTCCTTTTCTTTTTCCTTTTGTCTTCTTGTGCATATAGTCCTAGAACCTCAACAGAAAGTGAATGCAAGCAAGAAATTTCCAAACCATTCTGCAATGTAAATTCAGCTGAATTTCACACTTCTAAGAACTGCAGTCTCTGTTTATCCTCACCTTGGCTCGGTACACATTTATGCAGATGTATATGGTGCATGTATGGGGCTTTTTTCCTGTTTTCACCCAGTAACAATTAGCGGTGTTGTGTGCTGTTGCTTGGCACAGCAGCTCAGAGGTCTGACCCAACCAAGGAGGGATTGTTGAGTGCCCACAGATATGAAACCAAGTTCAGGCTGTGAAGGAAATCAGGTACAAGTACCTTGGAGTACCCCAGTTCCTTGTACACTGCAAAATGAATCCATAGCTCATGGAAAGAGAGAATATCTACCCTGCACCTAAAAGAAAGGCCTCTATGGAAACAGTAATCATGAGTAACAGCTGAAATGAGAGCAAACGTTTTAAAGTAAGCCTCAAAACCCACATTAAAATCTAGGGTCACACTTCAGTGGAAAGACATAAGGTTATAGGAAGGTAAATCAGTTGGAACCTTGTATAAGTGACTAAATAGAGATAGAAAATATGAGTAAGCAAAAAAGAGGCTTTGCAAAAAGAGGTTTTACAAGTAGTGTTTTGGTTTGGCATCATTAAACCTTTTCCCTTTCTTTAAATAGTCCCCAAATTTTCCTATTGCTTTTTCAATGTATGATGGCAGGATGAGATTGTATATTTCATGAAATATCTTGAGGTATCTGAGGAGATCTATGCATCCCCTTTCTCTATGAGCATAACATAACACTCAGGAATTCTTTCCTGAAATGCTGAAGTGCCTTGTTTTTACTTAGTTTCACTAATTATTTTTATTGTGATTAATTTTCAGATGAGATATTTTTTTCTTCTCCTAGGCATGCAAATCTTTTGTAACCTTTGCTGAGAGTGTGTATGATTGGTGAGAAGTGAAGAATGCATGGATGCTATTCTGTTGAATATTTTCCCTATGAAGAACAGAAGTAGATAAATTTCTATGATTCTATGATTCTTTGTGAGGATTTAGCACCCATAGTCCTCAATGCTGGCTTAATGCTGAATAAAGGAGTTATTTTGCTGTCTGTGGCATGACGACACAGTGCATCCTTGGGTCAAGCGGTGACAGTTGGACTGTCTGATGCTGATGTGTTCACCATCTCCTGCCTCCTTTCCATCTGTTTCAAAGCACAAGAGCTAGCTGAGCAGTTTGGAGGAAGACGAACTCCTACCTGGTGCCCTTCTTCACACAGACCTCTATCATTCATGAAATGAACAGAATTGTTGTTATTTCTGCTGCTCTCCTCAACATCATAGGTGCATTAATTGTATGAATTAAATACCTGGTATCTGTGATGATTAAGGGGATTTTTGATACTATCTTTTAGTATTCACACTAATAAGAATTCATTAACTGAGTTCACTTTTCTGATAATTACTAGAGTACAGAAGACAAAGGTTATTCTTCATATTACTTCAAGCCAGTAAGGGTGCACCAGTGTATTCTGGAAGTCTTTATTAGACAATATTATAACAACACACTTCGTAAGGAAATCTTGGAAATTCAGCTCTCAGTGAGTGGGGATGAGAAGCAAATGTTTCTGTTTGTACTTTTTCAGGGCAGGTAGACTCTGAGCTCTGAGCCTTTAGAGCTGCCTCATCTGCCTTTATTTTACTTTCAGACCTGAACTTTACTTGGGCAGTGACTGTACAATCTTCTTCAGTGAAGATGTTAAGTTTGCCATTCAATCAATATCCAAGATCTAGTCTATCCAAGTTTCTGACCTCAGAAAGTTAATTTAGGTGGTTTTGGATTGGTTTGGGGTTTTTTTAGTGGTGTCTTCAAGAAGAAAAAATTCTAGGTCTGGAACACTATAAAACATGGATAATTCAGGAACATGATCCTACCTTTGCTTATAACAAGATTAGGTGTTTGTGTCTACATGAGCAATAGAAATAACACTATTGTTCAGGCATATGAGCAAATCAAGGTAATATTTTAGAATGCTAATCAACCTGCGTGAACATCACTTAGGAGCCAGCCAGCCAGCCATACGTTTCAGCAATTTGTCAAAGGAGAGAGCCTGTTCTTGCTCTCCTGTATTTTTCTGCTAAACTGTATTTTGTTTATATCATTCTTCCCTCCTCAAACAAAACCAGACACATACCCTGAATTTGACAGATGTTTATCAGCATAATCAGTACATAGAAGGAGAAGAAATTTGTGGATGTTTGGATGGAAAGCTGCATGACACCTGTTTTAATTTTGGAGGTAATGGAAAACTGTTTGCCTGTGAAAACCTTTTAAATTCTGTTCAAAGTGCAGTAGTTTGTCTCCAATGGCTAACACCAAGGCTTGCTTGCATCCTCTGGTGACTGCTAGGTTCCTTAAACTGTAATTTAAAAAACTGGAAGCATCAGCAAAGTTTGGACTTGTTTAGGTTTTAGTCAAAGATTTAGGCTAACTTCCTGATTAGGTTTCATTTTACAGACAACAGGCACTCCTGAAATACATGTACTTTTTCCAGCCACCTACGTATTTATGCTGTGAGCATTTGAGATACACTGTGACACACAGACAAGTGGATTAATGCAATGAGTAATGTGAATAATCAAAACACTTATCTGGCTCCCAGATGCCCACCTGGACTCTGGAAGGGCTTAAAGCAACACAATGAATTCATCTTCAGATTTTATGTGCTACAGCAGTGCAAACACATGTCCATCTCTCCAGCAATATGACAAAAGCAGTATTTGCACATCTGCAGAGTTAGTGATTTGTGTGAATATATTTGGAGCATTTCTTAGGTAACCTGAGCCCTGCTTGCCCGGCATGGAGCCTGCTAGTTCCAGGTGCCTGGGATTAGTTTATTAGTAGAGGCAGGCAATTAGAGCTTCTGCTTGAGCGAATAGAGGGTCATTTATCGTCTTCCTCAGAAACCAGCTCAGACCTTCAGTAATTATTTTAAAAAGGATTTTTAGAATCAGTATCTAAAGAGAAGATGATGCTTAAAGAGGCATGGGAGGTAAATATTAGTTATTCTCCTACTATTACTGTAAGGTTTGCTTAGGAGGAGCTGGAATTAATTTGGGTTGGTGTGAATACTCCTTTCACGTAGAAGTGTGACTTGTATGTTTTGGTACTTAGTGTTTTATATGTTCTGAGAATTTTAATGAGAGCTACTTCGTTAGTTCTACTGGCTGTGAGAACTGGTGTCCCACAAGTGTGTTCAGTTGTGTTATTAGGTGATCTATGTTGTATGATAAAGTATAGGTGAATTCTCTACGAATTAACCACCCTTCAGGCTGTTATGCTTTGTGCAGAGAAAAAATCTGTTCACTTACAAAAACTTTTCTTGCCTCACAACACTTCGCTTTTTAATTTAGTTTGGTATGTTTTAGTTTAATCACAGTTAAATAAATCATAAAAGTCGTATGTCTGTACTACAATCCTGTGTATGGGCATATGCATATCTCTCTCCAGGTTTATGCTTTGGCTTCTTCTCACTGTGGTAGAAATTTATTTTTTTCCTTAGGAAATTTAAATTTTGCTATTCCTAGTGGCAAGATTACTGATTATATTCTCTCACGTATTTGTGGCTAGGTTTATAGCCCTCTGCTGTGTCTCTGCTGAAGTATGAAATGTGTGCTAATGTCTATTAACTGTTAAAAATCATTCATGTATTGACTGACCATCCTCCCCTGAAGACCTTTAGTACTGCTAATCTTGCAAAGCTTTTCCTTTCAAAGCATTTTTGGTGGCCTGTTCCTTAGGTAATTTTTCCCTATAATTTCCACATTGTTTTCTGAACATTACCAAAAGGACCAATTATTACTGAGGAGGAAAAATACGTGTGTGCTGGAGGAAATTTTGTCCTACATGAGGATGAAAACAAACCCTGCCCAGCAGCAAGCCCTACTGCTTTCCAAGTGCTTACTCCAGCTCCTTCCTCTGAAGGGTGTTTCTGACACTGCACTGCTGCCTTGTCTCACCCCACAGCTCCTGCTGGAGTAGACTCCATTACCCATTTCAAGATCCCTGTAGCAACATGGAAACAGAGCAACTTTAGGCCCTGCCACTTGTCTTTCCCCACCCATCATCCTCCTTGACTTCTGAACTTCCCCAGTACAGTTGTTGAATGCGCCCACAGGATGTC